TTAGGCAAGCCAGGCTACCTACAGAGCATAGATTCACTCCTTGTTCAAGTGACAGCATCTCCAGGAAGCCTATGTGAACAAGATTAGGACAAAAAGCAATAAAGTGGCACTTTTTAAAAAGCATTATCACTTTTATCCAGTGGTCTCAATAGGGAATGAGTCCTCTCACTGTCTAGAAAAAGGAGGAAGTTAAAACCAGAAGTTTTATGTTTTAAATTCCCCTGCTGACAGTCTTGACAGGGACTCGTGGAACACTGCAACATTCTAAATATCTATCAAAAGTACTGATGTGTACCAAAACACATTGTGTTGACTCCTGCCAATCTCGCACCTACTAACAAAGCCACAGATGGTTCCCCAGTATCATCATTGTGCCTAAAACACTATGAGTATTGTGTTCAGTACACACTGGCTGAATTAATGAGCAAATGAATGACAATCCTGAAGTGCTACCGGAAACACCAAGGTGAAAAATTAAATACCAGAGTCAACTTAATTATGCACCAAACATACAAAGTAATTGTATTAAAAACCTCAGAGGAATCCACACAGGCTGAAGGTGAGCATCCATCCCAGTGTTTCAAGTACAAGGTGGTCATGCCACCCAGACTCACTACCAGGATTCTCCAAAAAGCATCAGATATACCTACAGTCTGTCCTCAGAACCTCAAAAATACTCTCTGGATGCTAAATCTTAGAGCACAAGCAGTTAGTTAAATATTGGGGCAAACTAAATCCCAATCACGCTGCCATCTTTACTCAAAACCAACCCTGAAACATGCACTTAAGTGAAACAGAAGCCCAGGAACTGCTACCCAGCTTTTCCCAATAAAAGAGGGGCAATAACACCTGGGCCTGAAGACCAAAGATATTGTCAGAACACAGGAGAAATGCCAAATTCTTATATCTGACTTACTGTAGGTAAGCCAGGTAGAACAAGAGAAAATGAATTTAAGCTATAAAATTACACTACTTGGAGTCTGACTACAAGAAGCTGCCAGACTACAAAATGAGTTGGGTTGAAAGAGATCAGGGAATTTTTCCCCCAGAGTCTTTAAAAGGCAGAGAATGAAATAATGACCTTTTCAGCTACCTTTCTGACCTCTTATTCCTGAATCCTCTCTGGAAAATACAAAAGTTAAATTTACTAAACAGTCATATAATTCTCTTTGGTTATATTTCAATTACAGGTAATGATAATGATTAAATAACAGCTAACATCTCTATAGGGCTTACTCCATGCCAGGTGGAGTTCCTAAGCCCATTACATATATTAACTCATTTAATCTCTGAACAAGGTAGATGTTATTATTTATTGCCCTAATTTTACAGATGAGGAAACTGAGACACAGAGAATAACTTGCCCAAGGCAATACAAAACTGGGAAGTGGCAGGACTTAGATAACCCAGGCTAATCACAGAGCTTTTTTCATCGGTGAAGTTGGATGGAAGGGTAGAGCCAATGTTTAGGGGCATGCAGGCACAAAAAGATCAGATTCCTGCCTCTGGCCAGCAAATGCCAAGGTAGCTCCAGGGCCATGTTCTGAGAGTGCCATCTGATCCCTTAACCACTAGTGTGTCTGTCACCTATCTCCAAGTCTGTTAACTTCAAGGGTGAAGCCCAGGAATGTGCAGCTCCCTTGGGATTCTCACACACTAAAATTTAGAGAACCTGTTGCTCCAACACCAATCCTGCTTTATTCCTCAAGAGACCACAACAAAAGAAGGTAGAAACATAATAACCAATAACGATGCTGTTTTTTGAGCATCGTTATTTGAGGGTCTGGCTCTGTCGCCCAGGCTGGAGTGCAGTGGCATGCTCTTGGCTCACTGTAACCTCTGCCTCCTGGGCTCAAACTTTCCTCCTACCTCACCTTCCCAAGTAGCTGGGACTACAGGCAGATGCCACCATACCTGGCTAATTTTTTAATGTTTTTGTATAGTCAGGGTTTCTCCATGTTGCCCAGGTTGGTATCAAACTCCTGGACTGAAGTGATTCTCCCATCTCAGCCTCCCAAAGTGCTAGGATTACAGGTGTGAGGCACCACGCCCAGCCCTATAATGGGGCTTTTTATTCCAGGTGTATTTGATAGAATCTGTTTCTTTACTCTGCAATAATTCCCAAATTTAGTCACACGAAGGAACACCTGGAAATCAATTTCTTAAACTGTTGATAGACTTAATTCTATGGATCAACTAGGAACAATTTTACGTTAGGAAAACATGAGTATGTTAATACCAAATTTTAAAAATTATAACCATGTTTTCTTAGTGAATGTCTCCACACTAAAAAGATGACCACTTCTAGCCTTTTTCATCAATGTTAATTTGCTGTGTCCATTTACTTTTTCCTCTGCTGGTGATCACTATCCATGGCAAGCAGGAACCAATGGTCTAAAAATTCCAACCAATAATTCTAAAGTTCCTCCAAATTATGAAGTCGACCATGTCTTTGGCAGGGCTTCTCACAAACTTAGCCTCAGAATCACTGCTTTAAGGCAGGATTTGCTGCTCACCAACCACTAGACATAATCCTGTCTCGCAGGGTTTCTTAACTTGAGGTCTGTGAACTTGAATTGGAAAATCACGCCCATATTTCCATTCACCTCTAGCTAAATATGTTTTATTTCCTTCAATTACAAATGGGGCAGGTGCTCACAGTGGCATAAGTATCTGTGACTTCGCCAGCAAGAGAAATATTTTTTCCCACCACGGTGCAGTTAAGCATCTTGAAGTGCTGTTTACCCTTGTCACCACTTCAAAATTACATTAATAATTACACTGGATGGTGTAAATCAATACGTTAATTTATTAAAAGTACATATGACATCACCACTTCTAAAAACATGTTTATATCTGTAGTGCAACGTAAGTGGTTTCTTTTGTAATTCTACGTGTTCTATGCATTTGAAAACATAACTATGAGAAGGGATCTATTGGTATCAGATGATCATAGCACACAGAATTTAAGAACCCTGACCTACTGACAGGTGGAGGCACAAAAATGATTTTAAGACAGCACATTGCCTACATCATGTGAGTTAAGATATAGCTAACTGCTTACGCTGTTGATAGTGGGGTTATTAGTTTGCATTTCACTGCTAAGCCATGCTACCTGTGTGCCTGGAACAAAGAGGAAGCTCCAGAGAGTTGCTAAAAGAAAGGACAAACTGGGGTAGAGTTCCTGCAACAGTAGTTTGACTACTCCATTGATTCTACCAGCAGTCTAACTGTGGCTCAGTTTCTCCTCTCTGGAGAATAGGAGTAACTATTGTTTACCCCGTGACACTGGAAAAACATACAGGAAAAAAACATTAATTTGTGTGAAAAATTAAGCTTAAGCTCTTTGAAAGACATACTTTTTTATTTTCCACGTGTATCCTTAAACAATAGTTCTAGTGGTCTTAATTTTACTAACACAGTGTCCACATCAGAATCTTGAATCCCATTCCCAGTTCAGCTGTCCACAATGGGCCATAAGGAAGAAAGAAGCATCAGAGGAAAGGAAATACAGCTCTATTTCGCCCGGGAAATGGGTGAACTTAAAGATCAGTGCATACTGCTTGGATTTGTTTGTAAATATGTTCACGTATGTGTAATGTCTGGACAATGAAAATCCATCGCTTTCATCAGCTTCTCAAAGAGGACTCCAAAGAAGACCTACTCTAGAGAAACATGCTCCTGAAAAACTGTAAACAAACTGTAAAATATTCAAATTTCTTTTTTACAAGACCCTCACATGTAAACCAGAACCCCTTCCCTACAGCAAACTGTGGGTCACAGATAATAAAACAGGCCTGTGCAACACCTCACAGCCAGTCAATAACCAGACAGGACCCACTCCTAGACCACCTGGCTTTTTCCCCCCTGCATGAGCCTTGTCACTGAACAGTTTTCTTCTTCTTCTTCTTTTTTTTTTTTTTTTGTATTTTAGTAGACAGCGTTTCACCTTGTTACCCAGCCTGGTCGCAAACTCCTGAGCTGAGGTAATCTGCCTGCCTCGGCCTCCCAAAGTGCTGGGATTACAGGCGTGAACCACTGCGCCCAGCCAGTTTTACTCTTCTTAAATCTGATGTTCATGGCATAAGGCAGTAGTGGCTTTAAATATCACTAGCCACAGCTTTCAGTTGCTCTGATCGCTATCATTCAACTTTAACTGAGTAAAAGGAAGAAAGCAAAGAAAATTCTTCCAACTGACTTATTCAACTTTCAAAGATGAGTTTATGTTGCAATGCCAGTTTAAAAGCTCCCCTACGACACCGTGCTTCTATAAAGGATTCTCAAATTGATGAATGTCCAGCAAGATCTACTACTAAAGGTCACACAACTGTACTAGCATGAAACAAGCCAAAAGATAAGGCCCTGTCATCCTGTGTTCAGGAAACAACGGCGGGATCATGCCACAGGCCAAGATTTCCAAAGAGATTGCTTTAGAGAGAATGGTTATCAGGAAGCAAGAGCAACAGTAATTCTGGCAGAAGGGCTAGGATCCATGAGTATCCGGGGTGTGGGAGTAGGGGGCGGGGAAGCTTGTACAACAGATCGTCTTAATAGAAATCTAGTGTGGCCAAGAGTGCACGACCGCGAATAGAAGCGTCTGCATTTTCCTTCACAACTACCACTCCCTCTTCCCTTCCCCGCCCACCAACGAAAAAAATGCGGCAGGAGTGGAGAGCACGGGAGGAATAAATGGAGTATCTTTGGGGCGTAAACCCGGTTTTAAGACCTGTTTCCACCACGAAATAGCTGCCTGACCCAGGCAAGTCACAAAACCGTGACTCAGTTTCCCCACTACACTGCCGACTACACAAGAATGCTGCCGGGATTAAATGAGACAGACAACGAGTACGAAACCTTCAGCACAGGGCCAGACATTGGAACCGCTCCATGGCCCTAAGGCGAGTCCGCAGGAGGGTTCTGGGGCCTGGCCTCCGGCCCGGAAAGGGCGCTCCCGGGGCCCGCTCCCCGCCAGCTGGGTTCCGAGGCCCTGCCCGGCCCACCTTGTTGTTGTACTCCTCCACGAAGCTGCCCAGCGCCAAGCGAAAGCGCTTATCGGGCCGCACACTCCAGTTCATCGCGTAGACCGTCCAGGGCGCTTCATACTTGTAGATCTCCTTCCGTTTGCCGTGCAGGGACATGGTGGCGGCGGGGCCGCAGTACGGGCCGGGTCAACAGTGGGCTGCGGCGGGCGGGGTGCGAGTCGGGCGGGGAGCCGGGCCTGAGATCTATGGGTCCGAAGGGAGGAGGGGCGGGGGCGGGCAGGAACGGCCTACCCCGAAGCGGGGATGCGGCGACAAACAACGACGACGACCGAGCCCGACCCCTACTTTCAAATCAGCTTGGGCACCGACGACAACCACCTTCCGTTTCGGGACGCCGCCCCGCCCTCTCGGAACGGAAGCCACGGGACCCCTGCAGCGCCACCGGCCGTTGGTTGCCTGACACGTCCTTTCGAAAGGATTCTTTCTTCTCATTGGTTATTGCGGCCGTAGCGTGTGAAATCTCCTCGTTATTGGGTTAAATGTTTGTCATTGCAACTACTCGCCCCGCCCAACTCTCGGAGGCAGGCGCTTTGGCAGTCCCAAAGATCATTGGCTGACCAAGATGTCAGTCAGGCAGATAACGGCGCAGTGCGGGTGGTGGGGGCGTGGGTGGCCGGGAGGCGAGCGTGCTGGAGTAGCGGGCCTCCAAGTTCTAGGCCAAGTCTCTGAGGGTGAAACTGTCTGTGACCTGCGCTGACTTCTCCTCTGCTGCTGCTGTTCTGAGCGGCCTTTCCATGCTGTCGAGTAAAAGCACAATTCTGCTTTAGCGGAAGACCTACTAACTTTCGCGGGACCGAGCCCCGCGGCCTGGCAGCCTGGCCTGTGCGCAACGGGTACCACCTTCCTGCCCCTTCTCTTCCCAAGGCCCCGTTAACCCGAAAGCTGCTGTCTTCGGGCCTCAGGGCCAGGCTTCAGGGGCGCAGATGCGCTCACGGCCAGGCCAGCTTGAGTCAGGTCCTCCCGCGCTTTCCTGCAGGATCTAGAAATGTCCCCGAATTCTGGGGTAGGCACCGACCTGACCAGCTTGGCTCTGTTTTTGTCGGTTCCCATCCTGTACCTTACCCGCCGTGCATCCCAACGCAAATGCTAATCCAGCCCCAAAAGTATCTGTGCCTGTGAGTTTGAAAGGGAGAAGGGCCAGAGACCAAGTGACACCTTTATATAAATGGTTTCCAATTCTTAGCTTTCATCAAAATTGAAGGAGGTTTGTATTGAATTGTTGGATTATAACATTAAAGTTTTTTTTTTTTTTTTAAAGACAGGGTCTTGCCCTGTCACCCAGGCTGGAGTGCACTGGTGTGATAAGGGCTCACTGTAGCCTCGACTGCCTAGGCTCAAACGATTCCACTTTAGCCTGCAGAGCAGCTGGAACAACAGACGTTTGCCACCACACCTAGCTATTTTAAAATTATTTGTAGAGATGAGATCTCTCCAAGTTGCCCAGGCTGATCTCAAACTTAGGCTCAAGCGACCCTCCCACATCAGCATCCAGAAGTTCCGGGATTACAGGCTTGAGCCACCATTCTGGGCACTAAATATAATTTTTAGTGAAAATGATTTTTCCATCTCCCAGGTTTAAGTGATTCTCTTGCCTCAGCCTCCCGAGTAGCTGGGATTACAGGGGTGTACCACCACGGCCAGCTAATTTTTGTATTTTTAGTAGAGAAGGGTTTCACCATGTTGACCATGCTGGTGTCGAACTCCTGACCTCAAATGATCTGCCAGGCTTGGCCTCCCAAAGTGTTGGGATTATAGGCGTGAGCCACCACATCTGACCAAGAAATCCCCCTTATTTTTTTATTTTATTTTATTTTTGAGACAGGGTCTCGCTGTGTTGCCCAGGCTGTAGTGCAGTGGCACTATCTTGGCTCACTGCAACCTCCGCCTTCAGGGTTCAAGTGATTCTCCTGCTTCAGCTTCCTGAGTAGCTGGGATCACAGGTACCCGCCACCATGCCCAGCTAAAGGAAATCCCCTGTAAAGAGGAAAGTTTAAAAAAAATTTTAAAAAGGAAAGAAAAAGAAGTACAAAATTTGTGGTACCTTGTCTTATTCTAATAAAAAATAATGATATTTAGCCACAGATAATAGGAACTAATGGGGGGAGGAAATTTTTTCTTTTATGACCTACATTTCCAATAAAATTTCAGTTTTTATTAGAAAATTGAATATAAATGTTGTTTTGAACTGTACTACTAATAGATGTAACCCTTAAAGCCTTATTAAAGTTACAAAAAATTAATTTTAAAATGTCAATTAATTGATACATATTTGTTTTGAGGCAGGGTCTTGCTCTGTTACCCAGGTGGTAGTGCAGTGGGGCAGACACTGCTTATTGCAGCCTTGACCTCCCGGGCTCAAGCAATCCTCCTACCTCCTTTTATTTTTTGTAGAGACAAGGTCTTGCTGTATTGCCCAGGCTGGGTTCAACCGGTCCTCCCACCTCAGCCTCCCAAAGTGCTGGGATTATAGGCGTGAGCCACCCCGTGACCAACCTTTTTTTTTTTTTTTTTTTTTTTTTAAAGAGACTGAGTCTCACTCTGTTGCCCAGGCTGGAGTGCAGGGGCGCAGTCTCGGCTCACTGCAACCTCCACCTCCCGGGTCCACGCGGGCCTCCAAGTTCTAGGCCAAGTCTCTGAGGGTGAAACTGTCTGTGACCTGCGCTGACTTCTCCTCTGCTGCTGCTGTTCTGAGCGGCCTTT